AAGTGCGTAAATCTCGACCCACTTAGTGAAGTAATCCATTACTACCAACATGTACTTGCCTCCATTATCACTTTCTGGAAACGGCCCAGCAATGTCCAAAGCTATTCTTTCAAACGGGCTTCCAACGTTATATTGTCTCATAGGAGCTCTCCTTTTTCGATAAGGCCCGTTACTCGTAGCACAAATAGTACATTTCTTACACCAGTCTTTTACATCGTCGGAACTGTTCATCCAATAAAACCGTTCCCGAATTCGCTGAAGGGTCTTCTTCACACCAAAATGCCCTCCTGATGGACTGTCGTGTAACTGACGAAGTACTTCGGCTATTCTGCTCTTTGGAATCACCAACTGTCTTCTCTTCTCTGAACCGTCATCATTTTCCAGGACTCGTTTGAGCAAGCCATCTTCCATGATAAATGAGTCCCACTGGGCCCAATACGTCTTAACTACTGAGCCTAGGTTCGATATTTCTTGCCAAGGTGGTCGACGGTTTTCCTCTTTCCATTTTCGGATTTTCTGTATAACTGGATCTCTCTCTTGTTCTTCCCTGATCTTGGTAGGCGTCCAGTCGTCGTGGACCACCGTCGTTCTTAGCACTGCTGCTTCCTTGGATTCCGTTTTGTTGCAGTGAGAACACTCTGCTGGGCATGGCCTTCTGGAAAGAGAATCAGCGTTTCGGTGGCTAACTCCGGCCCGGTGCTCAATCTTAAAATCATATTCTTGGAGTCGTTCGTTCCACCTGGCTATCTGACCCTCTGGATTCTTAAACTGCATCAACCACTTAAGGGCGGCATGGTCGGTTCGGATTAAAAACTTCCTTCCATAGAGGTATTGATAGAAGTGCTCTACTGATTTCACTACTGCCAGAAGTTCTCTTCTCGTGACGCAATAATTCCGCTCAGGTTTTGAGAGAACTTTACTGAAATATCCAAGGACTCTTTCCTGTCCTCCCTGAATCTGAGACAGCACTCCTCCAATTCCCACATTACTTGCATCTGTATCTAAGATGAACTCTCCTTCTGGCAGTGGATACCCTAAAATCGGTGCTGTGATTAAATGCTTTTTTAAGGTCTCAAAGGCATTTTGGCAGTCTACATCCCAGCGGTATTCTCTTGCTTCCTCTGTAAGTCGCGTTAATGGTTTAGCGATATCTGCAAACTTCTTAATAAACCTCCGGTAATAAGTACATAGTCCAAGAAAACTTCTCACTTGATGTTTGTCAGTTGGTTTTGGCCATTCCTTAATGGAATCGATTTTTCCCTTATCCACGGCCACTCCTTCTTTACTGACTATATGACCCAGATAATTGACTTTACCTTGAAATAGCTGGCACTTCTTGGGGTTTAACATCAATTGGGCAGCTTTAAGTCGATTAAAAACGTTTTCTAAATTCTTCAGATGGTCCTCAAATGTCTCCCCCAAGACGATTATGTCGTCTAGATAAACTAGGCATGTTTTCCAAGATAACCCTCTCAACACATTTTCCATAAGCCTCTCAAATGTCGCAGGAGCGTTACAAAGTCCAAATGGCATAACGTTGAATTGCCATAATCCAGATCCTGTGGTGAAGGCTGTCTTTTCTTTATCTACCGGGTCCATTTCTACCTGCCAGTATCCAGACTTCAAGTCCAAAGTAGAAAATAATTTACTTCCAGCCAATGTGTCTAATGTGTCATCGATCCGAGGCAGAGGATAACTATCTTTCTTGGTAACGTTGTTCAGCAAACGGTAATCCACACAGAACCTCGTTGTTCCGTCTTTCTTCTTAACCAGGACCACCGGAGAGACCCATGGGCTCGTAGAAGGTTCTATCACCCCGTCTTTCTTCATTTCCTGAACAATCGTTTCAGCTTCCTCTCTTTTCGCCTGTGGTAATCGTCGAGCTGTTTGACGAATTGGCTTAGCATTACCAGTATCAATTTTATGCTTAACAACGGTAGTTCTTCCCGTCTTTCCTCCTTTCGGTACGAAAATATCACGATACTGCCGAAGAAATTCCCTTAATTTCCTTTTCTCAATCTGATTCAGAGACTGTCCAGCAACCGCAACCATTTGATCAAATTTATCGTTGGAATTATCAGACGTTGTCGTCTGACGGATTATGGATGTGACAGGTACACAAGTTCCTACTTTTGTCTCTTTCTTGATGGTCACTGGGTAGTCATTGACATTAATAAGTCTCACAGGAATTTCTTTAGCCGAAGTCACTAATTCTTTTCCAATTATGATTCCACGGCCAACTTCGTCGTCATGATTCCAAGGCTCCATCATAACAGGTGTTCCTTCGTCCACAATTCCCTGTAGCCGCGCTACTATTATCGTTTCACTTCTCGCAGGCACGACTGTATCTTCTTTAACGGCTGCTTGCATAGTGTTGTCATCATGTGGATGGAGAAATACCTCCTCGTTACCAACTTTGATTACCTTATTCTTAAAATCCAATTGGAATCCATGCGTATTCATTACGTCCATTCCTAATATAACATCCTCTTCGATGTCAGCAACTATAACAGTATGGACGAACTTTTCTGCTCCAATTCCTAATTGTACCTGGATTTCTCCATGAATGTTGGCATTTTCACCTGTGGCGGTCCGAAGTCGCAACCTCGTTGGTAACAGTTTCTTTCGGCTGTTTATAACTGTCGGGCGTATAATGGTTCTGGTCGCTCCAGTATCCACCAACAACGTATGCTTTTTACCATTTATTTCTCCATCTACATATACACTATCTTCACGACATTTCAAAGAAGCTATTAGTATCAGAGGGTCTTTGGTAAAGTTCTGGGTCGAAGCTGCTCCCCTAAGGCCGACACGTTCTGGTTTTGCCTTCGGTCTTATGGTCTTCGTTTTCTTGTGTGTCATGCTTTTTATCATATTAAAGAGCTGGTCAAGTTTATCTTCGTCTCCTTCCCCTTTTACAGTTCTAACTTTACTGTACCCGCCAGAGGCTAGCGTAGCTGACTCGTATTCGAGCGCGGCAGATAAGACATCAACCAGCGTCTTGTGACGAGCTAATCGTAGTGTTCTTTGCATCTCATGATCACGAAGACCATCAATAAACGTTTGAACGGCCAACTTTTCCATCATGTCTTCGGGAGCTGTTGGATAAGCATATCGCACTAATCTGGCGATATCTACTTCATATTCTTGAAGAGCCTCATCTTTCTTTTGTCTTCGATTTTTGAGCTGCGACTGATATACATGCTCCAAGTGTTCGTGGCCATATCGCATATTTAACCTCTTCTTCAGTTGTTCGAAATCATCCGTCTCCTCTACGGCTATGGTCTGGAGCACATCTAAGGCATCTCCTCGAAGAGCGATAGTCAGGTTTACAGCCTTTTCTTTTTCAGACCATCCATTTGCTCTTGCAGCTGATTCGAACTGTTTCATGTAGTTGTTCCATGATGATTTTCCGTCGAAAGTTGGGACTTTGACATGAACGGAACTTCCACTTCCTTCAAATTTCGGCCGTGTTTCCAACTTACATTTCGTCTCATTTTCTTTTATCTCTACCGGATCTAAAGCTACCGTATTAATTGGTGGTAGCACTCTCGTGTTAGTTATCATGGTCTCTAACTGTTTGATTTTCTCTTCAACTTTATCAAATGTTTTAGAGACTTCTTCAAACTTCTCACCATTCTGAATACATACTTCGTCGAATCTTCTAGACATATTTTCAATTTTCTCGTCATTTTGTCTAGCTATTTCTTTAATAATTTGAGACGTTTCATCGAATCTTTCATCATTCTTTCGAGAAGATTCTTCAATCATTTGTGACGTTTCATCGAATCTTTTGGAAACAGTCTCGAATTTTCCATCAATTATTTTCGTTAAAACGGCTTCTTCTGCTGACTGGAACTGGAATGTCTCTGGGTCGTCTCCATTCTTGTTGAGAACAGTCTTCAGTCGTTCTTGGAGGATCTTCTTGGACCCGCTGCAGTCTTCATCGCGTTCTTCTAGTTGCTCACGCAACTGTTTCACTGAAAGTTCTACTAGCAGCATCTTTGGTCAGGCACACACGTACTTTTTAAATGTTCTTTCGTACAACGATCACTACTGAACTACGCGGATGTTCCCGACGAACAATACCTTTCAAAAGTTCAAAAGTCTTTTTCAAAAATCAAATTAAATTTATCTACGATCCCACTTCTGACACCACTGTGACGTTTGTATAGTTCTAATTTATTTGTCTTTATTCTAATTTATTGTCTATAATCTAATTTATTAAAACTCACGATAACTAATTACGAATTTATTAAAGTCTTTATTAATTCTAATTTATATTACAAATAATAATTTATGTTTCGTTACATTTTAAATATCGCGGTTGCCGAGCTTCTTATAACTGCCTGCCAAATAAAAATCTTTCATTTATATACACAACTGTTGTCATCCAGAGAATTCGGCGGACTTCTTGAATAGTCTCGTATTTTGGTGAAGGCGCTCGACTCGTTTTTCAACCTCGAGACGTGGATGACTCATTAGTGTTAGTGTCTAGAGATTTCTGGTAAACAACTGGTAGCTAAGCTCAGGTATATTTTGACCTACAAATTACGAGAATCAATAAAAAGAATTAGTCATAAAATATTTACAGTTCTATACGCCATAACATTTAAAATCGTAACAAAACTAAATAGCAACTATACACCACAGGTACTTTTTAAGACACTGTAATGTTTTAGCTAAAGAAAAAACGCTGTAAATTTCTACAATGTCAAAAAAGTTGTTTACAAATAATGGATTCGAGGGATCTTTGCTACGTCACAGGCCTGGCTCTGCTGTCAACTGTCATGCGCCATATCATACCTTGCGGCAATATATATTACAACAGGGTGCTACTGGCAATATAGAGTACTTAACCAGTTCAAAATTTCTTACATTTTAATATATATCTTACATAACAAACATTCAATGGTACTCTATGTTTAGAAGGGACCTTGATTATTAATGCATCGATTTGCAATCGATACTATCTTATTAAATTAAAAAAATAAACATACCTGCATATACCATCGAATTAAGATATCCTTTATCTTGTAAACTAAGGTCTAAGTCACATTGTGCAGAAGCAAAAATATACGACATGTTGGTAGTTTCAAACATCGGTGAGCATATACCAAAGAATGTCAGTGCCATAAGAGTAATGTTAAATTTTCCAAATCCTGTTTTTCGGACTGCTTGCTCAAAAGTGGCGGGTTCATTGTCTGAAATTAATAAATTTATACTAATTAAGAGATTCCTATTAATTTTTACTAAAAGTGATTGCCTTATTTACTTTACTAAATGTTTGTACATATAACGGTTAGTGAGAAATAATTCCAGTTAGAGATCTACATAACCTGAAAATTTCGTAAAAATAAAAAGTTATTATTTCGTTACAACTTTAGTTTATTTTAATTAAGCTTGACGTGTTGATTCAAAATGATAAAATGCACGGTTTGCCAGATAAGAACTGAAAATTTTTTTAACTCGATTTTTCTATTTTTTGCCAAACTCTGGGCAGGGGATATAAAAAAACATATGTTTGGAATAAGCTAGATTAAGTGCATCTATCAACATAAAAAACGATTTCTTAAAATTCGAATTTGCCCAAAAATGTTCAAACGGTGTACCCTTTCGATTTTTTTCAAAATTCAATTATCGGGTATATTGGCCTCAATTTTGTTCTGTGAGTCAAATCGTTGCACTTTTCTTACATAAAATTGTCCGCTTGTTTTTCTTGTATGCTCAGAATCTTATCTACATATATTGGTTGGTGAGAAAAAATTCCAGTTGTGGGTCTACATAACTCCAAAATTTCGTAAAAATAAAACCTTAATATTTCGTTACAATTTTATTTTATATCCATTAAGATTGACGTACTGATTAAAAAAACAATACAATCCTATGAGAAAATGCACCGTTTGGCCACAGTATAGTGCTTTAAGAGAATTTTTAAAGCACTATACTGTGGTTTGGCCAGAAACTCTCTAAAGTTTACAAACAAAGAATTTTTAGACTAATATGGTGATAAAAAAAATAAATCATAAAGTTTTCTTTTGACAAAAGGTAGAGTTATATCTTTATTTTAACCAATCGAACCTTTAATAAAACTTTTCAAATAACAGGTAAGCAATACCATTAAGATATAATAAAATTTGTCATCACATTAACATTGGTGCATAAAAAATCATTAAAAAGTCAATCCAAACAACATTAAAATTCCAATGTATATAAAGAAAATATTAATCACCACATTTTTTATCAGAGAAGCTGTTACACCACTGCAACATTTATTATTAGCATTAATATGTTCTTCTGTGCTTCTGGAAACATACAATATCAGTAGTTGACTATGTCGCCTCAAGAAGTTTTAAGAGTTATCGAAAGAATGTTACAGAAATTGTATCATTAAGTCAAACAAATGATAAAATGGTTCAAGTTGAAAAAGAGTTTTATGCTCTTGTATAATTTCCAGGAAGCGTAGCTGCAGTTGTTTGTACTTTAATAGGAATTGATTTCCATGGAGGTGCAGATGCAGAAATATATCGTTTACAAAAAAATTTTTGCATTAGATGACCAAACAATCAGTGGACAATCTCAGGAGCTCATGAAAGATGATTTTGACAGGAGAACGTATTTTTGTGAACAAATGATGGCTATGTTAGACAGCAATGTGATCCAATTAGAATATGTTTTGTTTTCTGATGAGTGTACCTATTGGTCCAGGGAAAATCCTCACTGTATGAGAGAAGGAAATACTCAATACCCTAAGAAGGTTTACGTGTGGGCAGGAATTATTGATGATCAAATCATAGGTCCCTTTTTCATAGATTACAATTTAAATGGCGACAATTATTTAGCATTGCTCCAAAATAATGTAGTGCTAACGTTGACTAGCTTGTATCCTGTTTCAAGAAACTCACAAGTTTCAGCAAATATTCAATGGTTTCAACAAGATGGAGCACCACCCCACTACCAAATCCATGTCCGGCAGTACCTCAACCAAATATTTCCAAATCGGTGGATAGGGAGACGAGGATCGACGCAGTGGCCACCACGATCCCTCAATTTGACGCCATTAGACTTTTTCTTATGGGGATATGTAAAAAATATTGTATACAAAACTAAACTTACTGACTTAGCTTGCTTACGAAGACAAATAACGCTTGCGAGTAGATCGATTCACATCTGAGATGTTGAGTAACGTTAGAAAAAATTTCTATTCACGGGTAGGGTGTTGCCAAGAAGTTCGTGTGGAGCGTTTTAAGCATCTCCTACATTGACATTATTATTTAGATTTGTACTATTTAGAAGTTTTTGAATATGTTGTAGCGGGTTTCGGCAAATAGATTATTTTCTTTTCTAAATGTGATTTTTTGCATTTTACTTAATATTTCTGAAACAGTCAAAGATAGGTATAGGATATCATATTAAAAAAATATTTAAAATGATCTGAGAAATCTAAAATTTAATTAATATACTGGGTGTTCTATTTAAAATAAGCAAGCTGGTACTGGCCACCGTTATCTGGTGATAATAAAACGCTGAAAAATTGAACAGTACGATTACGGTAAACACATTTACTCATTTATGAATTTAGATATAAATATCTCCAAAGATCACAGATTGTACTCGTTTCTATTTAGTTTTTTTTTTGTAAAATGTGAGTTCCTTTACCAGCTATCCAATCATTGTACGTACAAGTATGTAGTTTGAAAAATACAGAAGTTATACATAATTGTGCATAAGTAAAAAACATACCCCTTTTTCAAACGTTTGTTTTGTAAATAATTTTGATGAAAGCGCAATATGCTTTTAACATCTGAGATAGTTTAAGTCCTCAATAATCCTATGAAATTTACTTAATGTGTCTAGCATTATTAATAGAGCAGGTTCAATAGTTTAAATATTTAGCCTCAGGGATAAATAAATTAAATAACTTTTAAACTATTTAACCGATCAGGGGGAAATTTCGCACAAATTTAAAAGACAGTAATGGTAATGGCTCGATGTTCAAATGTATTATTAACATTTTATTTTGTTAATAAAAAATTAATAAATTTACAAATTAGTGCAAAAAACTGCTCTTTTTCAAATATCTCCGTAAATTATTTATTAATTTTAATTTAAAAAACGGGAAAATAAAGATATTCTTGATATAAAAATATGATATAAATATTGTCTATGCAAAATATAAGGGGAAAACTTATAGACAAAAAATCAAATTGTGACGATTGTAAGTGAGCTCGTAAGTGACAGTGAGATCCGGTGGCCTGGAACGGGAATACGTGAACAAGATGAAAGCACACTATACTATTCTGAAAGTATAGCAGATGACATACATCATAGGAATGGAGTTGGCATATTTATTTACATCTAAATTTAAGAAATATGTGAAAAATTTTATACCAGTGAACGACAGACTAGCAATACTCCAATTAAATAGCAAACCATTTAATGTCAATGTTATCCAGATATATGCCCCCACTGCAGAAAAGAAATACGACAATGATGTCGAATCATTCTATAGCCAATTAAAACAGACACTTAAAAATTTAAAAAATAACGAAGTCACATATATTATTGGATATTTTAACGCAAAAATTGGCCAAGGCCGAAGATCTGACCTGTTAAATGAATATGGACTAGGAGAGAGCAATGAAACAGGCGATAGATTATACCAGTTCTATCAAAAACATGACATGATAATCGCAAATACATGGTTCAAATTACACAAAAGAAGGTTATACACATGGAGGAGACCAGGAGATAATTCACTACATATGCATAAACATCAGATAGACTATAGTCTGGTAAACAAGAGATTTAAGAATGGCGTCACCAGAGTAACGACATATCCTGGTGCAGATATCGGTTCAGACTATAACCCTGTAAAAACTGACATCAAAGTGAAGCTCAAAAAAGTCCAAGAAAGCCCCAAAACACCAAAATTAAATATCTCAATATCCAACAAAACGTTAATAGAAAATGACTTAAACAATGAGCTAAAGAAATCAACAAATGAAAACAACACAGAAATATGGAACACATTTAAAGACCTCACCTTGAAAGTAATAGCAAAATATTCAACAACGTTACACAGGCACAAAAAGCAACAATGGATGACTGATGAAATCCTGGAATTAATGGAGCAGAGAAGAAAACTGAAAAGTAACAAGACAGAATATAAGGAAAAACAGAAATTTATTAAACAAAAAATAAAGGTGGCTAAAGAAAAATGGATGGAGGATAAATGCTAGGAATTGGAAAAGTTGAATGAAAAACATGATACGTTTAATATGTTTAAAAATGTTAGAGGAGTAGCTGGTTTTTATCATAAGAAAACTTCACATACTATAACCGATTCGTCGGGAAAAATGATAATGGACGAACATGAAATTCGAACAACCTGGCGTAATTATATAAGTGAACTGTATAATGATGATAGACCCGAAGAACTGGAGACTTTAGTTGAAGGTGAAGGACCAGAAATACTAAAATCAAAAATACTGCATGCTATAAAGTTAACAAAAAACAAGAAAGATGTTAAAGCTTATAAATGAGGAAAACATTAAAATACTGGTCAAACTTTTCGATGATGTTTATTCGACTGGTGATATCCCTGAAGATTGGTTGAAGTCCGAATTCATAACACTACCAAAAAAACAACGTCCGAAAAACTGTAGCGATTATAGAATGATAAGCCTTATGAGCCACACTTTGAAAATATTTTTACGCATCATCCACAGTAGAATCAGAGATAAATGTGAAGAAGACCAGGATGAAACACAATTTGGCTTCAGAAATGGACTGTGAAGTCGGGACGTCCTCTTTGTACTAAATGTATTACTGCAGAAATGTCAAGATCAAAGGGAAGACGTCTTTGCTGTGTTTATTGACTATGAAAAGGACTTTGATCGAGTTCAGCATCACAAATTAATTACAATATTAAAAGGTAAAGGAGTTGATATTTAAGACATACGATTCATAGAAAAGTTATACTGGCGTCAAACACCGACAGCTTGCATTAACCGAAAATCAACAGAGATATGTTAAAAAAAGAGGTGTCAGACAGGGTTGTATACTGTCCCCACTGTTTTTTAATTTATATTCGGATAGAATATTTAAAGAAGCGCTGCATACTTTGAAATTAGGCGTGAAAGTTAGTGGAATTTTGATAAATACTATCAGATATGCAGACGATACATTTATTTTAAGTGATGACATGAATGAATTACAATGCCGGTGTACACGGCTAAACACATGGTGTTTAGCCGTTTAACACATCAAGATGCACGATTATATGTTGATGATCGTATAATTCAAAGAGTGTCCAGTTTTAATTATCTTGGTTGCCATATTACTGAACAACTAGATTCAGATCAAGAGATAAAATGTAGAATCGAGATAGCCCGCACGACATTTTTAAAAATGAGGTCATGATAACTTGCAACTTCAACTTCGAAAGCGCATGGTTAAATGCTACATTTGGTCAGTCCTCTTGTACGTTGTCGAAGCATGGACATTAAAAATATCCACCATTAATCGTCTGGAGGCCTTTGAAATGTGGCTGCACAGACATATGCTAAAAATTCCATGGACGGCTATGCTGACAAATGTGGCAGTCCTTGAGAGAGCAAATGCTGCTAGCGAGCTGCTTGATAACATCAAATGTAGAAAGATGGCCTATTTTGGACACGTCGTAAGGGCAGAACGATATAATATTCTTCAACTTATTATGATGGGTAAAATCGAAGGACGCAGAGGAATTGGTAGAAAGCAGGCCTCTTGGTTGAAGAATATCAGGGAGTGGATAGGAATAAAGATAGCTGAGCAACTCTTTAGAATAGCTTGAGACAGAGACAGTTTCACCATGTTAATCGCCAACATCAAGGGGACTTAATAGGGTACGTTAAGAAGAAGACGATTGTAAAAATACGAGTTCTTTTTCATCTATTCTTCATCTAGTAACTCCACCTATGTCTTAAAAGCTTCAGATATCTGCGAAATATTTTTCGACCTTTTTTTAACCAGACTAGGCTAACTCGTTAAAAAGAGATATTTAAGAGACATATTATATAGAAAATCGGTATAAAGTAATTTCGTGTCTATTTTAAATAATTGTTCAGTCAAAATCATTCAAAATAATCTCTATATTATATTCAATAAATGCTATTGATGAGATAAAAATATTGACCCGATTGTAGGTACTAACTACAGAGCAAAAGTGAAGAATACTAAAAATCTTCGAAAGAAGATAAAATAGAGAGATAAATAATTTAGAATTAAACAAAAAAACTCACCACCAATTTGCGTATGTTCCATGTTACAAATGTAGCTTGCTTTCACAAAAAATGTAAATATAGTTTACAATTTTTATGATACATCGCTTAAAGAAACAACACAAATAAACATCAAAATTTAAAAGCTATAATTAGTACTTTTATTTTTTGTAATAATGAGGTAGTCTTTAAACAACCATCAATTATTGATTTTTAATATGTTTCTTAATTATTGTTTGACTAATAGTGGATGCCTGTGTTCCATAACTTTAAATTTTAGGTTAACGATACACTCCAATGACAAACTAATTGTGGTATAATAATTTTTATTTGCAAGCAATTGACATATTCACATTCCATCTTTTTCTGTAGTAGGAAACAATGGGGCAATTTTTTATCTTACATGCATTTGCTTTAGGAGATAGTTTATTGTAACTCTAATGCAAATTTCTTGTTTTTATTCCTATAGTTTTCTATTTTTTGGCCTATTTTTCTAGTGCCATTGTTTAAGTTTTATCGTGGTGAAATATTAAAGATTCTAAAGATTCTGATTTTTTCTTTTTAGGGGAATTGACTAGTTCTTCATCTCTCTGAGTTATACACTGCTTTTTTATGATCGTGTCATCATTACTCAAATCGAAACACTGGCCTCAGAAGAGTAGAAAAATTTCAAAGTGAATAAACCGAGTAGTAACTAACTTTCAAGCAATATCAGAAAGACTGTGCTATTTAAAATTGTGCTGAGAAATCCACGAAGCATTTGCAAGAGAACAGCATTGTGTTGGATATAAGCAAAGCATATGATAGATCTTGGAAATATTCAATCATTAAAACTTCTTCTTCTTCTACGGCACTACAGCCCAAAATGAGCCTTGGCCTCCTTTATTTTTTGCCTCCACCCTTGTCTGTCTGTGGCTGCTCTTCTCCATACACGGACTCCTAAAAGTGCTTGTGCGTCGCTGCTTACTGTGTCTTCCCAGCGCTTTCTTGGCTTTCCAACTGGTCTCTTTCCCTGCATTCTGGCGTTTAGTGCTCGTTTTGGTAGCCTATCCTCTCCCATTCGTATCACATGTCCGGCCCATTGCAATCTTTGTATTCTAATGAAGTTTGACAGGGGTGTTTCCTTATACAGTTGATAGAGCTCGTTGTTATATCGAATTCTGAAGATTCCGTTTTCCCTCACAGGTCCTAGTATTCTCCTCAGTACTTTTCTTTCGAATGTGTCGAGTTTGTTTTTGGATGTTTCTTTCAGGACCCATGCTTCGCTGCCATAACATGCTATTGGCCGAATTAAAGTTTTATATATTCTCATCTTTGTATTTCGGTGGACACTTTTAGACCGAAATATATGGGAGAGGGCAAAATAAGCTTTGTTTGCCTGCGTTATCCTTTTTCGTATTTCTCCATCCTCTGCTCCATCGGCATATATTTCTACTCCCAGGTATGTAAACTTTCCAACCGTTTCAATGTCATCTTCATGTATAATGTTTTGTGGGATTATATTTCTTCTCGTCTGTACCATTATTTTTGTTTTTTCTGTGTTAATTTCCAGACCTAGCCTTTTCGTTTGTGTTTTTAACTCTGCGTATGCTTCCTGTGCTCCTGTTGATGTTCTACTCATAATATTAATATCATCGGCGTAGGCAGCCAGTTGAACCGTTTTATTGGTCAGTAGGTTTTCTCGTCCAGTTTGCATTTGCCTGACCGCATACTCCAGTGCCAGGTTAAACAATGTTGGTTCAATCATTAAAACACTCTGGTTAATAAGGGGTAAAATATTAAAATACATTTCAATTTTTCTTGCAAACAGACAATTTCAAGTTCGACATGACAGAACAAATTCTCACACAAAAATTTAACAAAATGGTATACTACAAGGGTCAAGATTAAGCACAACTTTATTCTTAGTAGCAATAAATTCGATATTAACACAAACTGAAAACTCCGTCAGAGCTAGATTATACGCTGATGACCTTAGTTATTTTCTGTAGAGGAAAAAATATGGCAACGATTTACATTCACATTCAAAAAGCATTAACACACGTTTAGAAGTGGTCAGCTATCAGTGGACTTTCGTTTAACACTTCAAAAACGAAAGCAATCTGTTTCTCAAAGAGAAATGAAATCCAGACAAAAGAATTATATCTACACGAACAAAAACTACACAAAACTACACTAAATTTCAAAAAACACATCAAATTGATCATCCTTTTTACTTTCGTATGAAATTATACTTAACCAAATAAAATTTTCAATTTCCAAAAACCTGTGATATTTCTTCAATCCACAACCAATGCACATTTCAATCCATAACCAACAATGCACCATGGACAATATCTATTCCTGCTATCTACATCAGTCTAACAAACCTAAAAAAAACACCGATGCATCTAAAAATGAAGACAAAGTTGGAGCAGTAATTTATTCTGAAGACTCCTCAGTTAGTTTTAAATTGTCGTTAATTACAACTATCTTTTCTGCTGAATTATTTGCAATTCTAAAAGCACTATCGTTAATACAGAACAAAAACAAAAAAAGATATGTATAATAATCACAGATTCTCTGAGTTCACTATCCTCACTGACTCAAATGTAATTTGACAACCCCCTTCTACTTCTTATTACAAAAGAACTTCAAATTTTCAAATAAGAACATCCAAGTTCCCTTTTTATGGGTGCCTTCTCACGTCGAAATTGAAGGTAACGAAAATGTAGATAAACTGGCTAAAAACGCACCAACTAACCCGATGTCCGAAGAAATTAACATATTGGTACAAAACGATTTAAAACCATACTTAACCATACAAAACGAAAAATAATTAAAAAATTGCAACAAACTTGGAACAACACTCACATCTTTGGAAACCAAAAATAAAAGACAGAAGAAAACAAGTGATACTTACCCGTTTCTGTATCGGCCATACACGACTTACTGCAAAAATAAACCAGTGTGTGAAATGTGCAGCAGTATTCTAACGAAAACATTTTTTAATACAGTGATCCAAATAGGTATAATGGTAAACAACTGAAATATAGCATACCCAATTCCCTAAGAGATGCCCTAGAAGAAAATACAAATACCCAAAAAATATTGTCTTATCTTAAAGACTGTTAACTTCTTCAAAAGATCTATAACATACTTTTTAATACACATATATATTTGTATTGCGAGTTGACGCACTTCTACGTTCTACGTCTACGTCTACGTCTACGTTCTAGAAAACCACCAATGAAAACGGCAAGAATGATACATGAGGAGTTGAACATCACGTGGAATGCATGGCAAAATAACATGCCCTGCATTACTCACAAGCCACCAGGTTTTGATCTTCCACGTAAAACATGGTCCACTCTAAACAGGATCCGAACCAGACACGGCAGATGTGCATATATGCTAAATAAATGGGGAAAGAATCCGTCTCCTCAATGTGACTGTGAGAAGGACCAAACGATCGACCACATTATTGAAGAGTGTCGCTCAAGATCCTACAATGGTAGCCCTGAAGATTTCCTGTTTGCAACTTCAGAGTCAATTGATTATGTTAATACACTTGATGTTTGTTTGTAACTATTTAAACTTTGTCATATACCTATATTACTAGTGTTTGTAATTTTGTTCTAAATGTGTTGTAATTGCCATACGATAAATAAATAAAATAATTATTGTAAACTAATGTATATACACTAATTGTATCAACTGTCACATAAGTCTATGCTTTTGCATAGACGGAATCATGCTGGAGACAATAAAACTCTGTGTAGAGAGTATATGCGAGGAATATGGATGGAAATATAGATGAAAATTAGTAAAAAAGAAAACGATAGAGTAGTGGCAGAGAGAATGAGCGAATAGTAGCGAAAAGGTAAGGTGGACGCAGGTGCTTATTCCCGATCTAAAGCCATAATGGTATTGTAAGTTCTGGAAACTAGACGACGCAGTTTCTGACCGGACTGTACTGTTTGTGGGGTATCGGACGCCCCCACTCACATTTTTAACTGACAGAGATGGGCAAATGAGAAGGGAGACTTCAAAAGGCGAATGGGTTTCAGGCTGGATAAAAGAAACATAGTGAACATAATGATGAGAGGAGAAAAAAAAATTGAGAGAAGAACACTGTCTGATTTCTGGGATGATGAATAAAGAGGAGCAAAAGAACAGAGGAGGAAATTGAACCAATTATTGAAGCAAACACATTTTATAGGAAAATTATGGTAAAATAGATCATTCAGATAAGTAAAAAACAAAGTAAGTCTTAATATTAAACCTTGAGGAATCCCATATTCGACAGTGTTAAACTCAGAATAGCTGTTACTAAGCAAAACTGCTTGTTTTCCATTTGTAAAGTGTGATCTAAATAAATTAAGAGTGTGTCTCCTTATAGCGTATTTATGTATTTTTTCCAAGAGTAATTCATGCGAAACACAGTCAAAAGCTTTGGATAAGCCACACAATGTCAAAAACATAAAATAACCTTTCTCCAAGCCACCGATTATATCTCCCGCAATTTTTTGTATAGCTAGTCTAGAGCTACGTTTTATTCTAAAATCATATTGATTACAGTGGAGTATTTTGTGTTTTTAGAGATTTTCTACCAAACGAACATTTAGAATACTTTTTGCCGAAAATTTTTCCGAAAATGGGAATGACTGGGATGGGACGATAATTTCCAATTTCATCTAAAGCTCAAAAGTAAGAAAAGTGCTCTCTGTAGCACTTTTCTTACTTTTAATACATCTGGGAAAATCCCTTAAGTAAGACAATTATTTTAAAGTATAACTTATTTAACTCCATCTTACCGTAGCACACAGATTAGGTGCAATAATTATAAGTATGAGCTGCCGATAAATAATAATGATGTAGAAGTGTGCACAACCTTTTTTCTTAATAAGTTTGGGATCAGTGAAAGGTATGTTTATACCGCATGGAACAAAGTTGTTGAATCTTGTGATGATGAACGTGGAAAACATAATAGCCATAGCACTTTACCTCCAGATGCTTTAGTATATGCCAGACAGTATATTAATTTCTTTCCAGTAGTGGAGT